TCCACGGCACATAACAACAACAACAACATTGTTGTTATTATCAATGACACACATCTGTAAGAGTTCCTACAAATCAAATTTTAAAATTTAAAAGGTTACCAACTTTACGAACAAGCAATTTATAGGAGAAATGTAAATGGCTGATAAAGACATTAAAAGATGCTTTGCCTCATTCATTATTAAAAGAATATAAATTTAAAAAGATAATAGCAACAGCTGTACATAGTGACATAACTATACGCATAAACATGGTTAAAATGGCAAATGTTTTGTTACACAGTTTAGCAAAATAAAAAGTACACAAATTTAAGACAATGATTTCACTTTTTCTCTTTTTTTTTGTAAAAATTCAAAGAGACAATATCAAATGCCTGTGAGAAAATGCAAAAACATGCACTCCCAATGTACAGTTGATGGAAATGCAAATTTGCATGTTTTGGAATATGATTTGGCATTAACTATCAAAACTGTAGCATTCGTAAGTAGTGCAAATGGTTAATGAATTTGGTCGTTAACTCTAAGGTTGGAGGTTCAAGTCCAAACAGAAGCACCTTGGAAAAAAAAGTCTGGTAATCCACTTCTGAAAAATCAGCCAATGAAAACTCTGTAGACTATAGTTCTACTCTGACACACATGGGGTCATCATGAGTCAGAGTCAGCTCAATGGCAACTGGCAGCTGGTATCAAAACTGTAAAAAAGCATATCCTTTGTCTCAGCAATTCCATCTATGGAACTATATCCGACATAAATATTTGAAGTAGGCAAACATGTATATAAAAGAAACTGGAACCATCCCACATGCCCATCAATAGGACACAAGTTAAGTAAAGCACTTTACATAATGGAATGTAGTCACCAGAAAAAATACGGAAGATCTACATATGTAGAAATGAAAATACAATCACTATATATTGTTAGGTAAGAATAAAGTTTTAAAACAGTATTTATAAATATGATGTACGTTATTTTTAAATACATTACAAAATTATACACTTATTTACATACATTTATCTCTACATGCTTAGAAAAATCTGAAGTGTTAGTGCCTACATTTGGCAAATGTGATGACTATGCTATTTACGTTTTGCAATACATCTGTACAACTTTTCATTTTTTATTTCTTGCTGTTGTTTGTTTATAGAAGAATAAATAATGCTTAAAAACAAAGATTCTAAAGTCAACAACCTGGATATACATGTCTACCACCTACCAGCAAAGTAACCAACCTTTCTGCCTCAGTATTCCCATTTGTAAAACAAGAAGAAGACTAAAACTCATTCTAAGAACAACAACAACTGTAATGCCTATGGTGTAAGACTGTGGAGAGCATAAAATGAGTTAACAAATGGGAAGCCCTGGGAATGACACCTGGTACAGAGTAAGGAACATGTGAGCATTGTTAGCCAGTATCATTCATGAACAGCATTTTAAAGAGACAAGCAAGCCACTCCCCAGATGCCTATCTAAATTCTAAAGCAACAAACAAAATTACCAATAGACAATTACTGTACCTATTCCCTGGTTTCAGGTAACAGAACTCTATTTTGGTGTTCTGAGATTATTCTTAGAGGTCACTATACAGACTTTTATAAGAAACTATGTGGCACAATGGAATGCCAGAGCCCAGATTAGAGCTCTTCTCCCTTTATAAGGAGTCTCCTTGACTTTCTTATCTGTCAAAGAAGAAAGGTGACCTAGATCATCTCTAAAGTCTCTCCTAATGCCAAAAGTCTAATATCCCAGTAGGATTAACTGTACTATTTGAAATGATTATGTATGTATCTCTATAGTTGCCTTAAAAAAAAAAAAAAAAAAAGCTAGTCAGTACATCCTGTATGTGAAACACAACTCCATATTAAAGTATAGGCCCCATAAAAGAAAAAGTCCTTCAACAACAGTCTCTTGAAATGCACTGCAGCAAAAATAGACTTCTCTCAGAACAATATACGATTACATTCCTTTACAAGCATTCTATTTCTCATACATTTCATTCATTTAAATGGCTTCCTTCCACCCATCCCACTTCTTCATGCCATAAATTCAAATCAGTGGCATTTTACTCTATGTTCACCAAGAATCCATAGTTTCATAACTACATGGAAAGAGTAATTTTTTCCCACCTATTAAAACCCTCAAATCCACTGCACAGTGAAAATGCCTGGCATACAAAGAGAACATAAAGCACTTACACGAAATGCTGCAAGAATGATTCTTGTTACTTTCTCTTTGACAGACTCTTGAAGGATATCAGACAGAACAGGAATGATATTGTAGCGCCGTAGGTGCTCACACATTTGAGGACTGAATGCCAGGAGCCATATTGAAAAAATCATTTGATACTGGAGTTGAAAGCCACACTTGTTACTCAAAACTCCCATTATGCTGAAAAGAAACACACATTTAGAAAATATATTTAATATCACAGCACAATATGAATGAAGCAATAATTGGCTGTTCTTATCTTTTTGCACTATGGAACAAGACTCTCTAATTATTATTCACAATTTATTTTCTGCCAGCAGTGAAAAGCAGCCAGATTCTCTTGCTCACAGGAAGCCATTTTCCACCTCTACTTCATTTAACCATCTCTAAAAAGTCTTGGAGCCTCTGGAGGCAGGGATAGTTGTTGTAGGGAGGCAATGAGAGAGGTAACAAAGGTTTGCAATAAGGCATGAGGCATGGTAAGAAAAGCATGACAGACACCAAAGAAGCAAAAAGCAACAGAACTTAACAACAAGGATGTGAGTCTTAGTGAAACCAAATGTTACATCAAGGTTTGAATCTGGGCAACCAAGGGGATCATTATAGATTCAAAATATATAGGAAATTCAATCAAGACAGAAAAGAGGGGATGAGCGTGAAGAAACTTATGATAGGTCCAAATTTGGCACAACCACTCATTGAGTTTTAGGGTCAGAGAAGACATCAGAAGCTTCTGAACTGACTTCTTAGTTTACTAATAAGGAAACTGGGATAGCTACATGAAAATCAAAGAGGCACCACCAACAGACAGAACATATATAATCGAAGAAGAGAGCTAAAGGATTTCCCCTGGCATGTACCTACACTGAGACAATAATGGGCAGACATTTATCAAATAAGATTAATTTAAAAAAAAAAAAAACGATCAGAGAGGCTGAGGGGAGTTCACAACAGTGATCTGAGGGGAAAAAAAAAAACAGGTGGGAAAGCTTCAGAGGGGAGTGGTCCACAATGATACAGATAAACTGAAAAGAGTAAATTTTCTACAGTATGTGTGAATCCATTGAAAAAATAAGTAAGTTTTCTAAATCCAAATATTAACCAAAAGAAAATACCCTAATGAAACAAAATTAAAGTCTCTGTTGACCAGGATGAGACAGGGATTCATTTAGAGACAAGAATCCTAACCTTGAGCATACCAAGAGCAAGCTAAAGGAGACGCAAAAAAAATTTAGACTCACAATAAACCTGTGTGTGGTAATGTCACATATATTTCTTGAAGATAAGTGGCAGAACAGTGTAAGGCATGTGGCATACAGGGTGGGCAAAGATAGACACTGACCATGCCCTCAAGGAGTTTACACAAACTAGCACAGTGACAGGAAAAATTCCTTAAGGAAGTGACAGCACCTGAGAGCTGAATAGTGAGTGAGCATTTATTACCATTTAGATTTTTGCTGTTTCTTGCATCACGAAGTTAAATATGACTGCTGCTTTAAAAAAAAAAAAATCAAATTGGTGAAGTTAGTGTTACTGCAAAAGTTACTAAATTATGCTATAAAATCTTAAATTATACCTTTGTTAATTACTTATTATTTACTAATTAGATTGTAAAGTTCTTAGAAATTCATATACTTTCTTTATATTCCTAACAATAACAGGTAGCACAACATTATACTCAGAGTTCAGTAAAAATAAGTAACTGTCAAACCCAAGATTAAAAAGACTAAGGTTCACAAAGCCAAAATAACTATTTAATGTTCAGTTTTGTTTCTTCATTAACACTAAAAAAACCAAACATAACACTTCCAGTAAGAAGGCAGAATAGGCAGACAAGCTAAACAGACCCTCTTCAACAAAGAAAAAATAAACCAATTGACACAGATACAGAAGATAATGCTGGAGCCCTGAGCTTTGAAAGGAAGAAAACAGAAGTGGATTAAATACCAACTAGCAGAAGAACGTGAATGAAAACAGTGAATAAGAAGACAAACGGAGCTGCAGACTGTCAGCTACTCTGACAGCACGGACAGCCTACATTATTTCCAAGTTGTGTTAGGACCTAAGAATTAACCTAAAAATTGGCCCTACTCATCACCTGTGCTGGTCGCTGATGATTAAAAAGGGAAATAGCAAAGAAGGAGACAAATTGAACTGTGGACTTTGGGCTGTCCAGAGGGCATAGAGATTTTGAATGTTTACAAGTGGCATCCATTTTGGATATTTAAAGTGAAAGCATTATCGGTCAGATTCCAGGGACCTAAGAATAGGCTCCAACTTACCAAGGACTGCGTGGATATATGAGAGGCTGAGGACTGGAAAGGAAACAGGTGGTGACTGCACAAGTGCTGCCAACTAGCAAATAGAGTAGCACAGTACCCTGCTTACTCAGGTAATATCCAAACAACACTTAGAAATTGAAAATCTTGGGCGAATCACTCCAACATACAATGACCAATTAAATAAACACAGAAAAATGTCACAATGTCTCAGAGGCAAAAGACCACCACAGCATACACAAAGAAGTAACGTTGTTGTTAGGTGCCGTCGAGTCGTTTCCACCTCATAGTGACCCCATGCACAGCAGAATAAACACCACCCGATCCCATGCCAGCTCCATGATCCTTGCTATACTTGATCCCACTGTCTCAGCCACCATGTCAATCCATCTCGTTGAAGGCCTTCCTTTCTTTCGTCGACCCTCCACCTTACCAAGCATGACATCCTTCTCCAGGGAATCTTACAACATGACCAAAGTAGGTAAGACAAAGTCTGGCCATTCTTGCTTCCAAGGAGCATTTCGGCTGCACTTCCTCCAGGAGAGATCGGTTAGTTCTTTTAGCAGTCCATGGTACTTTCAGCATTCTGCGCCAGCACCACAACTCAAAAGCATCAACTCTTCTTCAGTCTTTCACTGTCCAGCTCTCTCACATGCATACCAGGCAACTGGAAATATCATGGCCTGTGTCAGGCACACCTTAGTCCTCAAGGACGCATCCTTGCTCCTCAGCACTTCAAAGAGTTCCTTCACAGCCAACCCTCCCAGTGCTACACATCATCTAATGTCCTGACTGCTGCTTCTGTTGGCATCGATTGTAGAACCAAGCAACGTGAATTCTTTGACAACTTCAATCTCTTCTCCATTTATCATGATGCTGCTTATTGGTCCAGTTGTGAGGATTTCTGCTTTCTTTATATTGAGATGTAATCCATACTACAGACTGTATTCTTCAAACTTCATCAGTAAGTGCCTCAAGTCATCTTCACTTTCAGCAAGCGAAATTGTATCATCAGCGTATCTCAGGCTGTTAATGATTCTTCCTCCAATCCTGAT